ACTACCTGGCAAAACAACAGTGGCAAGACCCAAGCTCAGCATCGCAATGAAAAGTCACCGCATCAGACTAATGGAACCAGCGCTGAAGCAATCACATAAAGAATGGCACGGTGGTGATGGGATAAGAGGGAGGGCTTTCCCCACACCTTTGCAAGCCCCATAGGGAAGTGGAGAAGACCCACTAGCCCAGTGAGTGGGGAGAGCAATGCCTCTGCTAAACCCTTGCTTGTCCTGGGCAGTGCGGGATGGAGCGGGGACAGTGGGGACAGGCTGAGGAGCACTGTGGCTGCCCAAGCAAACCCATGCCGGCCAGGCTGGGATGGCAGTGAAGGGGGCGATGGGATCCTTTCCTTCCTCTACCAGAAACTAAACCGTGTCCCTGGCCTGGCCTCAGGGATAATTTTAGTGCAGAGGGTGAAACCCAAGCCCGCCAGCGTGCCACGGGCTGTAACGCAGGGCTGGCAACCCGGCTGTGCTGCTTCAGGAACGTCAGAGCTGTTCATCAGCGCTGGGAAAGCATGGGAAAAACCCCGGCGGGGAGCAGGGAGAGCCCAGCAGGCTTCCCTTGCCTTTCCTTTTGCTCCCGGGCCCCTTTGCGTGGCGTCAGCAAAGCCTGAGCTGAGCCCAATTAATGGTGATGGCCGGTGCTGAGAGCATGAGCAAAAAGCCCATGCACAAAGCAGGCCTGCCGGGGTGCAGGGGGTAAGCCCACACGTATAACACACACGCAGAAGTTGGTTACATGTAAGGCAGAGGCTGGGATGGTGAGAAGAGAAACTTCTGTCCTCTGACATGCTCAGAGGCAGCGGGCAGCACCCTTCCTGAAGGGCACATCTATGCCTACAGCTGCACGGGCAGGTCACCTGCTGGGCTCTTTGTGCTTACTTCAAACAAAACATCATACTGTAACTACGTGCATCATTTCATTCAGTGCACAGTTTCTATGGTGAAGCAGCCGTATCAAGCCACATGGGTCTTTAGCCTGGAGCACGTTAACCAGTATGCACTCAAAGTGACGGCAGTAAAAACCCAGTAAAGTTTGGAAATACACCCTACCAGCTTCATAGCAGCATTGTTATCCTACAGATCTGTCACTGTTTTCTGAGACTACTCATTGGATCAGAGGCTCTGATCATAATGAGACTCTGGATCTCATTATGGTGAGTCTCACTGGATCATAAGCTTTTCTTCCTCTCCCCTTACAAAGCAGTAAATGATCAGAAGTGTTTGAAGAGCCTTCCAAGCTTGCTTCATTTGTTCCTGTGTGTAAGTGCAGACACAAAGACTGAATCTGCATGTGCCCAAGCCCATGCTGTGCATGCAGCTTTGTGGAAAGGTAGCTCCTCTGCTTCGTTACAGTCAAGAACCTCTGTCTTTCATTGTGCCAGTGCTCTTTTGAAATCTTTATTCCTCACGGCTAAGGGGCCGGCAACTATCTGGTGATTTCATGACATGCCTTTCTGTCATGTGGGAAGGTCCTGAAGCTTGTCTCCAGAACCAGTTTGTGGCTGAGGATGCAGGAGATGAGGGATGTGATGCAGGAGGTGCAGGATGTGATGCAGGAGATGTGGGATGTGATGCAGATGCATGATGTGATGCAGGAGGTGAGGGATGTGATGCAGGAGATGCAGGATATGATGCAGGAGGTGCGGGATGTGATGCAGGAGGTGCAGGATGTGATGCAGGAGGTGCAGGATGTGATGCAGGAGATGTGGGATGTGATGCAGGAGGTGAGGGATGTGATGCAGGAGGTGAGGGATGTGATGCAGAAGCTGTGCCAAGACAACTCATTGACTGGAATTTCAGGGCACCAGCAACTGAACCGGAGCCAACGCTGCTTCCACTGCTGGTCACTTGCGTGTAGTTCATTGTATGTTGTTCACATCTGGTTATGGCTGGCACCACTCTTGCACTTGAGATAAGACTGCTGGCAAAATCAAGGAAGTCAGGTCCAGAGCAGATCCATCAGTATTTGGGTGCTGAACTTCTACTGAAATAAATGGAAGTGAGGGTTGCACATGCTCTTCTGGAAATGGGCTCCGCTGGCATTAAGGGGTGGTGGGAAAAGAGATGAAAGGTTGCAAGGAGTGAATGTGAGTACTAGAATGAACTGAACTTCCAAGGTGGAAAACAAACCACTTCCATTAGAGCATCCCAAAATAAGAATATTGCATTGTTTAAGAGATTTCTTGGCTAAAACTTACTGTGGCTATGGATTACTGTATTTCTTCCTGCATTCTTCATGAATGTTGGCATGCCCTGGTAAATGGCAGCACTTCCATGGTGTGCAGCATGGCTTGAGGCAGCAAAATCTGGCCCTAATACTACAGTTAAGCAAACTGTTAAAATAGGAACTGAACCAAATGCCCCGATCTCCTCCCCAGACTCAAACTAAACCTGTTTTGAGGCTCAGGAATGTTTGGTTAACTTGAAGTAAAACAATGTTGTGTTTCTGCACATCCTGCTTTCAGCAAAGCCTCCAAGCAGGAATACAAAACATGGCAGGCAGGGCTCTGTTTGCACTATTTCTGGCCCAGCTGAAACCAGGAAGGACTGGAACTCTCACAAAACCAGCTTTGTCCCACAGGGTACCCAGCTCCCTGGGTCTGCCACTGTTCCAATACAATATAACTCATGTACATACGAATTTACTATTAACTTTAGACCAGGTAACTGTGATGAACAAATTCCCCTGGGTATCAGACACATGAAAACCCCATTTTTACTTCACTGTGGCAACACATTATCTGCGTACTTTAAAGTCCTTTTATGCTCATCCTTTTGGAGTCATTGGCATAGCTGCATGAAGACAAGATGTCTCTTGTGGTACATGACAACAAACGGCAGCAAATGATAACCAAGGTAACAAACCATGCACATTTTGTGCTTCGTATTTGGTTCAGGGCTAATTTATAACACGTAATCCCCAAATTTGATGTTTGACATCTCTTTGACAACTCTCTTTATTGAATCTGCAAAGCATAAATATGAAGACAACAGGATTTCTTGGAGGTGCATACTTAGCATATAAAATTGCTCTGTTCTGTGTACCAGACTTTTGCAAATTCACATTAAAGGAACATTTAGTGTTATTGCTAGAAATGCTATCACTGTCAGCAAAACATAAGACAAACACCCTGATTACTCAGCTATCTGCCGCACCACAACAAAGTCATCCCAAACGATGCAGTACCACAGCTTCATGTTTGCTAGCCAGATTTATTATGTTTTCCAGATTCCAACAAGACACAGATATTAAGAAATGTGTGTTAATCATTGCCCTAATGAGAACAATATGCAGTTAGCATTTAGGCTGTCACAAAAAATACAGGCAGCGAGCACAGACTAAATGCACTCTAAATCCAAGGAAACCCAATCCTTCTTTCCACTAGCAAGTTTCGGTGGAATGGTCATGTCCAGGGGAAAAGTTCTAATCAGCTACCTAAACTTTAGCAGTTCTGTGTATATGCTTTCATTAGGCACAAGGCAAAGTAAAATGCCATTCTGACCACAGCTGTGAAAGCAAAGTAACCACTGTACCACTTGCTCACGTACAAGAAGCTATGAGCATATGAAGCACTAAAAGCCTTCCCCAGCATCTCCCCTCCACAGACATCAAACCTCCCAGTGTGGCACTGGGACAACTTCTGCAGCAAACAAGTACCCTACACGTATAAGAGGACAAGAACATGGCTTTAAACATATTTGCAAATAATAACTAAAAGGCATGCCTAGACTCAAAGAATAAGCCAATTTATTTCATTTGGTAAAAGGGCAAACCCCATCACCATTCCACACTTCTGGGGACCTGAAGGTGCACAAAGATTTGGTTTGAGTTCTCTAAAACAAAAGAAAACAAGCTTTTTTTGGTTAGTTATTTATTCACCTTAAAGAAACGTTCACTCTGCCCACCAGAAAAGGATGCAGAGTTAATAAATGAGGTTCGAGATGCTGACGGAGCAGCAAAGAAGGCAGGCATCAATGGAGTGGGAGCAAGAGGAAGCAAGATTGTCATTTCCGCTTGGATTGCAGTAGCTTGCAGCCCCACTGCTCGGGGGACATCCAAAACTTCTCCCTCCCCCTCCCATTCCTCCTCCCAGCTCCCCACACTGGTCGCACGGCTCCATCGTTCACTCCATCCGCATCCCCAGGCACTGTGTGAACACTGATTTAGCCTTTACTAACTGCGCACTAAGAACGGCTCTTTCTCACTTCTACCTGGAATCATGGAGGTGGTTTCACACACTTCTGAGTACAGAAACTTCTGAGAATAGTTACAAAATATTAAAGCCATTTAGGACACGGTACCTCTCAATCTCTTTGCATAGGTTAAAACTAGTATTCCCTTGAAAAGTGAGTGCTGAAGTAAAATGTGACTGCGAAATGTCTCACTGCACCCTCCCGGAGCACCAAATGCGTAGTAAATGTAAGAAAACTTTGGCTTCCTTTTCTGGGGTGTACCTTTCCCTCTTTCCCTCCCTGTCACACCACTATCCCAAGAACCAGACAAGTATTTTCTGCATGTCATCTAGCATTACATGAATAGGTACTCCAGTTTCCCTTCAGAAAGAAAGAAATCAGCTCAGACATTGGACTACCAGCTTCCTGACGGGCAGAAAGTGAAAAGCAGAAGGCAAAAGTACGCCAACAGAATGGATTTCCCCACTTTTGAAGTGCATTGTTTAAAACAGGGTATTTTTCAGGTAGGGATGAGGTCTTACCCAGAGCATATTTCACCTTCCCTCAAATCCCCAGATGTAACAACAACAAACAAAATCTAGCTCTTCCTTCTACATGTTCCCAGTATTGCAGTCTGCTTACGCTTTGTCTTCCTGAAGAGATGAATAACCAAACCTCTGTAAAAGAAAAATCAGCCACAGCTTAAATAAATACTATCTATAAATAATAGTGGTCACTCTACTATACAAGTGCATCACTGAACACATTAACGTGATGAAAGAGAACTTTTGTGTTATGTATTTTGCTCAGTTCCATGTAATCCTGTAATTCCCAGAAGAGCCACAATAAGCTTGAAAACCAAGGTTGGATGTCAGGAGCTATTAATGAACCATCCTCTTGGCTAACACGTGTTCGCAGCCTGAGTTCACCATCAGCATTCACCTTCCATCTTCCTCAGCTGGGCTGTCTGGCAGGTGCTGGGAGGGGTGAACACAGAGGGGTCAGCAATGCCCAGCTGTAGGTCAAAGAAGCGAGTGGAGGTCGTCACGCTGTAGTTCTTCGTGTAGGTTTCCTGTACAGGGTAACAGTCCGTCACTGTGTAAACGCCGACCCACGATTCCACTGTAACCAAGCAGAAACAGGACTGTGTTAGATGACACGAAAGAATGAATGAATGGATTAATGAATTAATGTGTCATGTTGACGTCAGTCATAAAAGTGGCTGCTCCTCAAGCAAATCCTACAGTCTGGAGCTGCCCATGGTTCTGTCCACATGCATGGCAACACCAACAAAGGCCACAAAGCTGGTATAACCTGGACAGCACAACGATCTTAAACTTGAACATGATGGTGCCAAGCACATATGGAATCGTGGTATTGGAATGTCACCTTTCAAGTGGATCCCTCCTGAAGGACCGTGGCTTCTGCTTAGTGCCAAGGTTAACTGAGTTCTGCAAAACTCTGATTTCTCTCACCTCTCACACCACTCTTACGGCAGCACTTACTCACTTCACCAGTAAAGCTGTTCAAATGCTCTGTTTCCCCAGGAGGCAAATTTTGGTGCCACCAGCTTGGCCATCACAGGGACATTTCACCTTACACTGCTATTGACGACATTCTCACCTCAGTGAGTTTGGTTTCGAGTATGCAGAAATGGAGACTCCTTGTCCTCGCACGTCTTCTATCAAGATAAAATCAAGGTAGCCCATATCTCCATTGAAACCTTTGTCAGTTTAACAGAAATACTATTTCTAGAATGTGAGTCCATATTAGCTGAAAGGAGGATGATGTGACAACTTGAAGACATTATTTGTATGAATGATCATACAGAAAAGTGCTGGAGACACAAAACAGTACAGGATAAAAATCGCACATCATTAACTGAATGTGTCTAGATACTAAGTTCCATAAAAGTTTCAACAAATACTGGATCTCAAAAACAAAATTCTTGGAGTAAGTGATAATTTGCCTCTTGTGGAATACCAGAGGATATACAGACCTAGTTACAAAGGTCTAATGATCTTATCCTTCATTTTCTACTTCATTCTTTCTATTTATAGTCAAGAAAAAAACCCTTTTCCCCAGGCTAAATGCTCAGTTTCAGCCTAGCCATTAGGTGTCTATAACCATAAGCACTGCATTAGCTGAATAGTGCCATTTTGTGTGGATCATCAGTAAACCACAGCTGAAATTGAAGCCGATGTGCTAACAAATTGCTATGCCTCCAAAATACGGTACCTGTGGTACCTTGGAAAATTCAGGCTACTCTCTTTTATGATGCAGGTGTTCAGCTGCCAAGTGCTGATGTTTCTTACTAGTGTAGTGGATAACAGAACTTAACTGAATATTAAGGATGTTCCACTGCTGCAGAACCATGTATTGGATGTCTTCTACAATAACACTTGATAGGAGCGTGTAGACACACACCGACACCTGCTTTGTTTCTATTATGCCCACTCTAGTTTGAGTGTGCCCCTAATTACACTACCAATTCTTCTATAGATAAATTTTGGATTCAGAAGCAAAATGATGCTGCTCCATGCCAAAATCTGCATGATATGAACTAAAATTCACTCAAGTCCCTTGGGCATATTTGATCCTGCTGAGATATAGAACACTCTCTTCATAAAAAACACTGATAATAAAGCCATATGCTGTGCACAAGAGATATTATTTCTTCCAGCAAGCATTACAGAAACGTGGAAAGTTGGGGTGAGTCAGACACAGTTCTATTTTTCCCTGGGTAGCAGAGACAGTGACTGTTATTCAGATGAAACAAACCCATGGACATACATACACTTCCTGGCTGGTTTTCTGTCAGACCATTCCTGTACCATAATTTTGTCTCCAGGTCCCCCAATGTAGTACTGATCTTCGTAGGTTGAATTGGCAGGAATATCATACGGATCCCATGGCTCTGTCAGAGCAACCTTCGAGCAAAGCTTTGTAACTTGCTCAATCTGAAACATCACTGCATCTTTGTAGAGGAATATATACTCAAAGAATCTGAAACAGCAAAAAGGAAAAGCAGTTAATACATACAGTCTTCTATGCTAAGCAAGGAGCATTGCTGCTAAGTAAGCTTGCCTTTGACTTCTCAGTTTAAGTCCATTTTCACTTGCATTAAACTCTGCCACTTGGAGAAAGGCTAACCAGTTGGGCTGAAGTTTCCCATGCTGAAAGCTTGCCTCAGCTGACTCTTTCCAAAACAAATAAACCAGGCTGAACCGGTTCAGCCATTTCTGAGAACAACAGAGCAACTTTTCTGAGAACATCTGAGAGGAAAACATGTTATTATTGCCCGTTTTGTTACGGTTTTTAATAGCTGTTTCATTAAACAGCTCCTGCGCCTCCATGTTTTGGAGAAAGCACTTGACATTTGGCAGGGGAAAAGTTTTGATTAAAAGTTGCCCAGATTTGGCCAAGCTATAAGCCTTTGGAAAAAAAATCTGCTTGCATAGGCTGCATAGATTCAATTCCCTGTCACTGGAGTAGAGCCTTTCTCTGTGATGGCTAGATCTGGTATCTGCCGTCCTCACAGATGCTCCTCCATGGACATGCCGGTGGTGGGGCAAGGACATGGATCAAGTGCAGAACTGATTGGCTCTGCCTCCTCAATGGCAAAGCTTCCCTCTGGAAGCCACCAGGTTCAAGAAGTAGTGAAAGGAGAAAGCAAAACAGTTAAGGCAGAGGTAAGGAGATGTGCGGAGATCAATGAGCCTCAAAGACCAGAAGGGGAGGTCAACAAAGTGGGCAGTTAATAAGGAGTTAAAAACCATCTTCTATAGAATATGAAATGCCCAAGCCCTGCTGCATGAGGAGAGATAAATGCCATCATGGACATTTCCATCTAGTTGCTAGTTACAGTCATTGGGTGTACCACAAACACTGTGCCCTTGCTTCCATACCTACAAAGAGGTGGTGGCATGGTCCCTACCTTATAACTGGTGACAGAAACAGAGAGAAACTGAAATCAGAATTAATAGCAGCATCAGCTGGTATCAGCACAGACACACCAGAAGCCTGACTTCTCCAGGGCACTTGGCATCACACATCAGGCGATGAGTACTTCAAAGCACAGCTCAAAACACCCTCATGTGTGCTCTGCACCTTTCGCAAAGGAGAGCCAGGAGTCAGTCTCTAAACCCCCCAAAGCCTGTGAACCCTCTATTAGAGGCTTCCTGTGGATATCTCAGCTCAAGTATTTGGCTACAGACCACTGTTATGCAGTGACTCTAAAGAGAAGGAAGGGATGGCATTAATCCCCTTGAACAGTTTCATCTTGACTATCTGCAATATGTCTCTTTCCATCTGTAATTCCCATGCCATCAGCAAGACAGGAGGAAGCTGGTGGAAAACACTGCACAATTGCACAATCCATGTAACTGAAGAGATGATGCACAAAACCCAAGAGGGGACCTCCTCTGTGGTCTTTCCCAAGTGCTGCATGCTTCTCTATGCAGTCTTCACATTGCTTTGGGGAGGATGTAAATTTACGTGAAATAGGGATGACAACAAAACACAATTTACAGTTCTAACTGCTGAGCTACACAATTGCATCGGTCAGGAACCGCTTCACCCACCACTGGCACAGAAGCTTCTAAAGGCTGCACTAGGAGAAGGGCTAAAAAGCACAGTTAAAAGCACCTGAGCGACATCCCCACCACTGTTTGAGGGGATCATCTCTGCAGCATGTGTGGAAACACAGGCAGAATAAATGGCACTAGGCAAACGGAGCAGAGAGGAAGCTTGCAGCAGGGGACAAGCAGGCCCACATGAGGTAACCATACCCCTCAAGCATGATGCTGCACAACATGGAATACAGCTTGTCCCGCTTTCCATGACGCAGGCAGTCACCAGGAACTCCCCCATATGGACACATGCAGAGAGGCTGGCAAGCTGCAAGATCATGCATTAGATTCCCCGTGTAAGTTGTCCTTGTGTCTGTATCTTACAATATTCCTGCTTCTGTGATGACCTGCACCAACCTAAACTCACCTGCCCTTTTCCTCATCAAAGGCAATGTCTCCACAGCTGTGATACGCTACGGAAGAATCCAGCATATATAAGCTGGCTCCTTACATAAACACAAGCCTATGACCATATCAGGACACATCTAACTTTTATATCCCATTCAGTCCAGACCATTTTCACAAGGATGCTAAAATACACTTATTTATGTTTGCAGCCAGGCTGCAATGACTCAACTCCCGTTCAGCTGGCTGCCCAGCAGCTCCCATAAAAGTGGGATGCAGAATGCCTCACGGATGAGTCCATCAACATGTTTGAGATATCTGATTGATAGTACAGTCATTCTGTGGAAGAACAAAGAAGCAAGGTTAGTGAAGCACTGCAGACTACTGGGAATAAAACTTCATTCCATTTCTTTTTCATTTTAAATCCTTACTTAGAACTTCTTTAGCACAGAAGTTTTACTTGCATTTTTAACAGCATTTTGTTCACATTTTCTTTTCCTTTATCAATCATTCCACAGAACATTTACCTACTGTTCTCAATTCTGCAACCTGTGAATTGCTATCTTTGCATGAGGGGAACGTGCCACCTTTATTCAAGTGAAACTCGTACAGTAGTTCAAACTTCAATCTGATGAGCGTGTGTATTTAACTGCTAGCACATGGATAGCCACTGTGACTTCAACAGATGGCCTGAATATGTGAAGGAGGGCCCACATCCATCTCTGTGCCCATTCTGCAGAGCAAGAGGCTCCATCACCCACGTTTTTGGTTCGGGGCCTGAGCATAAGAGACACCAGTTGTAGGAACTGATGCGCTGCTGGGATGAGCTCAGCACACACACAGGATGCGAACTGCACAGAGTGTGGCTGTACTCATGGGTAAGCCATGAGCATGGTTTACACGGTCAGTGTTCAACCCAGGGGTACCTCACATCCGAGTTTTAAAGCGAACTGCTCCCGTGTGTGTCCTGGAAGTAGCAACAAAACCCTAAGATCACCCAGGATCCGAGTTTAGCTGCGCATGAAAGGGGAATGGTCAAGTTGCTGTTTTAGAAAGAGAACTCCTAACCAGCCAAAATTAATGCCAAAATGTGCATGAATGCACAAATGACAATTCTGAAGCAAAATATTTTAAAATAATTTCCTTTTCTCTTCCCTTTTACCAGCCAAGCCCTAAGAACAGTTGGTTTAGGGGCCCCAGATTTCACTGGAAGCACAGAGCCCTGCAAACAGGCCTTGGCAAAGAAAGAGCGGAGGAAATGATTTGTAATCAGTTTGTGTTTTCAGAAGTAACACATCTGCAGCCTGAGCCCACCTGCAACACTGGGGTCATAACAATCTCACTTCTTCAACTGGAACTTCAAGAGGGCCTCAACCTGTTCACTGGGCACCTGCAAGCAGATTTGGAGAAGCTCCTTGGACAGGTTACCCTATTTGCCTGACTGAGATTATTTCCCTTCCTTTCCTATCCTATTCCATCCCACCCTGTCCTATGGCTCACACCCTTTGTACACTATACCCTTAACGGGACTCTCTCATGGTCCTTAATACTCCCTTTGTCTGTGCCTGAAAATGGATGAATTCCAGACTATAAACACGCAGGCATGTTTTTTGCTCCTATGCTTGAAAGGTTTTCTTAACACTGGACTATATCCTGTGCAAATAACTCCACGGATTTTGCTGGAAGCAATCGTGTCAGATAGGTGGGATACACACTGCATTCAGCACTCTCTTCTGAATAAGAGACCAACTGAACTGAATGCAAGGGCAGAATACCGTGCCCACACAATCACAAGGCAAAGCCCTTGCATGAAGACGTACCCTGAGGAGTGGGTGTGCACCCAAACACCATCCTACCTCTGAGATCTGGGGAAGCAGTGAGAGGTGCCCCCAGGGAGTCAGCCCAGATAACACAGAGTCACACTCTTGGACCCTCATAAATGATGGAAACCAATAAATGTACCATTAAATGTATGTAATGACTTGTCTCCTGCAGGGATTATTGTTCTGCATGCTATTGATGCAACTCAAAACAATGAATTATTGCTTTGTACATTTGTCAGGACAAAGAGTCATTAGACTTCAGACCATGCTGCCAGCTCTGTTTCAGGTACTCAGTCTCCACCAAGTCCTGCCCTATGCTGAGGTCCTTCCTAGCTGCCATCCTGAAGCATCACAGCCTGCCCATCAACTCCACATGGCTCCCAGGGTTTCCTCCACACTTCCAAAGGCTTCCTCCTGAGCGTCAAACCTAGAAGGAAGGATGTGCTTGCTGTCCAGTTGCCTTCACAGTGACTCAGAGCAGCAGAAGTGCTGGCAGTGGCACGCCAAGACCCGCATGATGTGTCTTGGAGCACATCAGACGAGCTCATTTTCTAGAGAGAAGCAAAATAATGGTCTGAGGCTGAGGGTGGGTAACAGAAATTCCTTGTGTGCTAAATCTAGCTCAGCATCATTTTGCTCTGTGGCTTTGGACAAGTAACTTACAGCACCGGAGCCTTAAAATGCCTTTTTTGATTGCTGTAGCATTGAAGAGGCACGGATCAGGGATCAGGAACCATTTGAGTGAGGCATTGTATTAATAAAGCACAAAACCACATTTGCTGCCCCAAAAAACAACAGAACAATGGTTCTTGTAAGGCAGACTTTCCTTTCCTGCAAAGACAATATGGGGTTTCATGCATTTAGGGCTTTAACCTGTTGATCCAGTTTTCTCAGCTGCAGCTATTGCATCCTTCAAACTCCTACTTGAGTTAGCCAGGACTTATATTACCTCATAAGCATTATAAAGCAACTGAAAAATGAAAGCAAAATTTCATGTATGATTTGTATCAGTATTTGCTATTTAAGATATCAAGTTGGGGTTGATGCAATTGTTCCAAAGCCAACTTTGCTTTCTCTTTTGAGATTAACTGAAGGCTTGAAGCATCCGTCTACCTTTGTGGTATTACTCCTCTGCCAGGTCCCTTTGTAAAGACACTTTCAAACACCATGAAAGAAGTTCTAATTAGAAGAAACTGCACTAAAAATA